ATATGTAAGACCCCTGTTTTAAAATCTGTGCCAAGTCAGAGAGCTGCATTTTTTTAAAGACTGGTTTCTAGAGATGTATTTTGTTCCTTTGAATGAGCCGTGTTTTGTTATTTCTTTCTATGTCTTATGATCTTTTGTTGAGATCGGGGCATTTGAAAAAGGAGCCCCCTCTTCCACTCTCCACACACCGGCTTCATGCAGGGGAACACCTTCGCTCATCAGCCCAACTGAAGGCCTGATGGTCTTCTCCTCTTTCCTGGGAATGTATCTTCCCTGGGACGGCGTGTGTGCTTTTGTCCTAGTTCTCCACATAGCAACTGCTCTGACATGTTTCGCTTCTGTAAGAATCTCATTCGTGCTCCTTCTCAGGAGACTTGAGTTTGTGTTCCCCTGCCTGTGATCTCTAGTCCCCAGCCATCCACAGGTCTTGAGTCCACATGCACCCATGTCTGTTGTCAGCATCCTCCAATCTACCTTCCACATTATGCCACCATTTCCATCAGTGTTGAGTCCGGCAAGACAAACCAGTCCCTCACGTAGCCCCCAGACAAGCCAGAAAGTTAGAAGCAAGTTTCTTTCTTTTCCTGGAGTCCTGAGGGAGAAATCCAGAATTAAGTGGTTTTCTCACAGCTGAGGCATACTGCACAAGATTAAGGGTGTGGCAAAGGCCAACAAAAGGCCTCAAAATTTCTGACCATTCTGAGCATAGCCTTTTTTTTTTTTTTTAATGTTTATTTACTTTTGAAAGAGAGAGCGAGAGCATGAACAGGGGAGGGGCTGAGAGAGAGGGAGACAGAATCTGAAGCAGGCTCCAGGCTCTGAGCTGTCAGCACAGAGCCCGATGCGGGGCTTGAACCCATGAACTGTAAGATCATGACCTGAGCCAAAGTTGTACGCTTAACCGACTGAGCCACCCAGGTGCCCTGAGCATGGCCTTTTCTGTTAGGCATTCACTTAGTTGATGCAGGCGAACTGGTTTCTAGCATTTTCACAAAACTATTTTGATTCATATATTGTGTATTTGATGTTTCTGTGCGGGAAACAAGAGCCTAGAGCATCCTAGCCTGCCATCTTGCTGAAAACACCTCCCTGATAATTATTTAAAAGGTATTGTTACTTTGTTTTATGTTACTGTTATGAAATTAACAGTATAAAGAAAATGAAATCCAAACAGGAAAACCAGAACTACATGAAAAATAAAAGTCTCCATGCCTGCTTCTAACTCCATTCCTACTTACACACATTGCATTTTGCATTATTCTGCAGGTTACCTCTTTAATAAGAAATTTCATTTCTTGACTCATCAACTTTGAATCCTGTAAAAGAGGAGGCTTGCAAGACTTCCTTCTCCCTCATTCTATTTATGGTTTTAATTTACATTTAAGTTTCTCAATTGTTAGGTTTTTGTTAAGTAAGCTCTGCACCCAACATGGGGCTCAAACTCATGACCCCAAGATCAAGAATCGCATGCTCTACTGACAGAGCCAACTAGACACCCCTAATTTGTTAGTCTTATAATTTTTTCCAAGCTCTATTGAGATATAGTTGACATGTAACGTTGTTTATAACTGTAAAAGATAAACACAGACCTAGAGGTAGTACTTTTCCCAGGATTTGCATAAAGAGATTAGCACTTATACTCTCCTCCACGACTTTCCCTTGCATTGAATTTTGCCATTTTCTAAAATGTATGGGGTGTTCTGTGAGAATAATTCTTTTATGCTATGCTTTTAAAAGATGATTATCTATGGACTCTTAAAGAGAGGCAATTAGTTGTCATATAACTCTTATTTGCATGGCTGAGCCTGTCCTAGGTTCTTAAATTACATACATTGTTCCCTCAAAATCATGTCCTAGCTTTGGACAAGTGTGTGGTTTATACCAGCATATCAAGAACTGTCCTTTCTGCTCACTGACAGTAGAACGTCTTCTGTCACCCTGTTACTACAGTCCTCTCCACTTCTTATCACAGTCTCAGCCTAGCCTGGTGGCATTTCCAACTGTAGGTCTTCTTCCAAATCCCCAGCTGTCCAGGCCACTGGTCATTTTGTGATCTCTTGCATGATTTACTTATTTGGCTTTTAAAGTCCATCTGTCTGCATCCCCAACACTAGAATGAGAGCTCCCGGAGGGTAAAGGAATTTGTTTTGTTCACTGCTGTATCTGCAGTGTGTGAACAGTGCCTTGGGCACATAGTGCTCAATAAAAAAATGTTTGAATGCGTGAAGCTTGCAGCTAATGATGCTTCTCATAACCAGCTTTCCTAAAATCTTCCCCTTGTTTCTTCTCATTAGGATAGACTGCTACATCCGCTTCAGACCTAGAAGTCCTGGCATTTCTTTGAATTATCCTCTTAAATTTGTTCTACTAGTTCTTGCAGAGCATACTCTTTGGTACGTATTTTCAGAAAGGGTGTGTGGAGAACTTTCTGACCACTCATCTTTATTTTGCCATCTCATTTCACGGACAGTCTGGCTGTAGATAGAATATACGAGTTCAAAATAATTTTCTCTCACAAGTCTGAGAAAGCACTCCATTACAGGGCTGCTACTGAAAAATCTCCTAATCCTCAGAAGAAGAAATAATCTCCCAGAGCAGGGTACAAGTCTTCAGAACAAAAGGTTTATTGAGGCTCTGAAGTGGGAAAGTATAAATGCAAAAAGGTTTTTGAAATTTCAAGACACAAAGAATGAAGAGAGCATTTCTTTTTGATATTTTTTTCCTTCCCCGTGAGAGCATTTTCTGGGCTTAGCACACCAGGGATCACTTGAATCCTCCGTTTCCCTTAACTTTTCACACCTCCTATGACCTAACAGGCTGGGTTTTTTTCTAAAATGTCTACCTGTCATGTTAGTCTCCTTCAGGAATATCAGATTGGTAAAAGGGAGGCAGGGAGAGAGGGTGGCTGGTTTTGGCTTCTCGGTTTCAGTAGTGCCTGATCCTGATAGGCTACTGGCCTGTAGCCTTTGCTCCATTGTGCACAGGTTGGATGTGGCTGCCTCTAAAGAGGGACGATTCCACTCACTTCCTGTAGCTGAGTGCTTTGGTCTTTATGTGTGTATCCCCCAACAATTCATGTTGAAATCCTAACTCCCAAAGATGATACTATCAGGAGGCAAGGCAACCGGGAAGTGCTGGTCATGAAAGTGTCACTTGTGAAGAGATGTTTTATAAAGAGATTCCTATTCACCCTATGCAGATCTGAAGCCCAAACAGGCTAAGACACTATCCAAGCAGTGAAAATTAGAGGTAAGCAAAATCTACAAAGATTTGTGAAAAATCAAACTCAAATCTCATAGCATTTGGAATTTAGAATCTGAGTGACTACCAAAAGCAGCAACAAGGATATTTACCTCTTCGCTGCACTATTTCTGAACATCTAAACGATGATGTTGAAAGACACCCAGAAACAGACACCGCCTGAGCATGCTGTGGCAAAGAATCGGGGTCTAACGTAAATAGTCGGCTGAAACATTTGAAAGGCACAGATGTATAACGAATGAGTTTGTTTAGGTAACTAGGTGAAACTCTGAGGATTTTTAAGTTTTTTTTTAATGTTTATTCATCTGTGAGAGCGAGTGAGAGCAGGGGAGGGACTGAGAGAGAGGGAGATACAGAATCTGAAACAGGCTCCACGCTCCGAGGTGTCAGCAGAGAGCCCTATGCGGGGCTTGAACCCACCAACTGTGAGATAATGACCTGAGGCGAAGTTGGACTGAGCCACCCAGGCACCCCTGGGGATTTTTAAGTAAGTGTCTTGTTGGTTGTTCCTTTCGAGGGGCAAAACCAAAAATAAAAATCCTTGCTTAGGTATCCTTTCTGAGCTCCCAAAGCAGGCTGTCCTCATATTTATCCATAGAAAGCTACTGCCCATGGGAGTTTGAGCCAGTTGTAAAACCTCCAGTGAACTGTGTTTACAGGGGAGAAAATTTGGGGTAAGAGGTGGATAATGTCTTCTCTCCCCAGCTGTCACCTTCCAATCAGACTACAGTCCCCCTGACTGCGCACCAGGATCACCAGTCCTTCCCCCTCAAATCAAACATTTCCATCTCCTTATTCAGGTGGTAACTGAAGGCAGGCCAGACAGAAACCGTTAAGATCAGAAGACTGGAGAATGAGGGGAGGGGTCAAAAGTAGCTAACTGGTAGGAAGCACTGAAAACATAGTAAGAGTGAAAAGTTAATGTGCTTAGATATAAAGTCAGATTAACATGAGTTGTTGAGTGGTAAAGTTTTCTTACTGGACCCTTCGGGGTGGAGACAATAAATTGAAGGTAACATTTCAGTTGCTTTCTTTGCCATGTGCTCAAAGCATACTTTAAGCAGAAGGTAAATGATTTCCTTACCTATGCGAGTTGCAAGTTTTAGCAAATTCCAGATCATTTTTATACATTTGTCCTTTATGTGCTTATGAGTCCTTGCACATTTTATTCATGTGTTTTGAGAACGTGCTCAAAGTAGAAATCTTGATAAACCAACATCAGTTTCTTCAGATACTTTTATTCTTAATCATGATGTCTTAATTGTTACTATTTTATCATCTTAACCCAATTTCCTTTGAGTCTTGGGCCATGAAATGAGGACAACAGGCATCAAAACTTTTTGCTATATATATATATATATATATATATATATATATATATATATACACACACACACACGT